TACATTTTACTTTGTGTTGGGTGCATACAAAAATGCACAGTAAATACAGACCAAAGTGAATAGCCAGAAAGCAAGAACCCAGTTTAGTGTAACTGCAAGGGTAGCTACAAGAAAAAGAGTTAAAGCAAAATGAAATTAGACGAGCTGAGTAACAATTTTCAGGGTGTTTAGAGTCAACCAGGACTATACCAAAGAAAAGATGGCAAATTGGCAGGACCATTTTTGCGCACCAGCAAAACTCTAATCCTTTCACCCCCACCCCCCAGAACCCCTCTTTTTGGGCTGGAAGTGCTCTGCAAGGGAGAGAAAGAAAAGACAGATCTAGAGAAGCTAGGGAGGTTGAAGAGTGGAGTGTAATGCAATTTAACTGTTTAACTATTAAAAAAGCAGATGCAAGAAGAATAATTCATCATTTAAAGCTAGATTAATCTACTCTGTAAAAATAATATTGTAGAATTTACTGTGAATTACTGGCAGCTGTGGTTGCCAGAATTTCACCTTGAAAAATAAATTGTAAATGTAGAACACAAAACGGTATCCTATTTTGGTAACCTTAAATTTCACAGTAAATAATAATATTTTTTTTTTTTACATTGAATGACTGAATTTAAACATAAATTCATGTGAAAACAACAGACATTCCTTTAACCTGATTACAGTCTTACTTTGTTAAATATAGTGAAACTGTATCATACCTAAAAAGTTGAATATTGCGGTAAAATACTGGCAGCCAGAATTTCACCGTGGAAAATATAGTGATAATGTAGAATACATAATGGTATACTTGTTGATAAATGTAAAATTCACAGTGAACTTTGGTTTTTGTACAATTATTACATTGAAATAAAAAAAACTAATATGAAGTAAACCAGTTAAAATACATTTTTAATAAGCTTGTTTACCGTCTCCTATTGACAAAGCACAGAAGAGCTGTATAATACAAAACATGCCTTTTTATTCAAAAGTTTATATTTACACTAAATTATTGGCAGCTGTTGCAGCCAGAATGTTGTCTAAAAAAATTAAGGTCCAACTAATGAGGTAATAAAAATAATAGGGCTAACTGGCATAAAACTTACATTCTTTGACTTTTTGTCATAATTTGCTAGAAACATTAATAAAAACCAGTAGAGACAATGATTAAATTAAACAGTTAACATCCATCCATCCATTCGCTTC